AGCGCGCAGGGTCGTCCCACGTAGCCCATGCCCATGCTGCTGCACACAGCTATGACAGACTGAGGGGGTCCTCAGTCACCTTCCTGTCCTGCCGAGGGTTCTCATGCGTCTCTGGGCTGTGCTGCAGAAGGCTCCCGGAAGACATGTGGGAGAAACCTGTCCCATCCTTCTGGGGTTTCATTGCTCCACGACATGGGCACTGCAACATTGCGCCATTTGGCACAGTTGTAGGTGGTGCTGGCCAAAGCCTTGACCCACGGAGCTGTGGATGCAGAGTGGTTGCCCACCAGCCTGATCCATTCAGTGCAGCTCTGATGGTCCTCGCTCATGTGTGTGGTCGTCAATTAATGAGTTTATCCTTGCAAAATTCCCCTGACCATGGCCACCCCAAGGGCTTGTCTGGGCCTTTGGCAAGAGCTGGCCCCAGCAGGGCTCTGCTTGCTCCCCAGGGGTTGTGCCTGGGGGCAGGGTTCTTGCCAAGCACGCGTGGAAGAGAGCTGCAGTTGGAGATGCTCTTACCTCATGGCACCTGAATGCTTGGTAATGGGGACAGCCACCCCAGAACAGCCTCCCTTCCACCCCATTATGCTGCAGACCTACATCCAACCATGGGCTCTTGCTCACCTGCTAGAGGAGTCTGAATGGAGGCAGTGACACTTTGAAGTATTGCTGAGAGCAATCCTTATTAATCTGTGGAATGCTGGCTATCCTGGAGGTAACTCCATCCTCATCGTAGTCTAGGCTGTTGCTCCCTCAGGCTTAGGCACAGTGCTTTCTGCAGGGCCAGCTGCACTGCATTGCAGTCCACAGGCAGTGGTTAACTGTAAATGCCCATGTTCAGGTGCCCCTTCTTGCCTTCAGTCTGACCAAACAGGTGTTCTGTAGAGCTGCAGGATGTTGGGCATAATGGGTTTTACTTGTGGGACCTTCCCTGCCCTTTAGTGCTCTGCTAGGGGCAAACTGGAGAAGCAGACAGGCATGCAGAGCCACTGGGGCACTATGAACAAGAATGTCCAAGGCTCAGCACAGCATGGCTTGACATGCACAGCAGGGCACAGTACAGCATGGCATAGCCAGGCAACAGCAGGCATGGCATGACACGGCATAGCATAGCACAGATAGCTCAGTATGGCACGGCATGGCAGGGGATGATATGGCATGGTATGGTACAGCAGGGCACAGCATGGCGTGGCATGGTGCAGTAGGGAACAGCGTGGTGGTGTGGGGCATGGCATGGCACGGCATGGCACAGCACAGCCGGGCATATCACAGTGCAGCAGGGCACAGTGTGGCAGGGCATGGGATGGTGTGGCAGGGCACAGCACAACACAGCAAGGAATGGCATAGTGCAGCATGGCATGGCATGACAGGGCACAGCACAGTATGGAAAGGCAGGCTGCTAGAGCTGCCTAGAAGAAAGCAAAAGCAAGAGGTAGGTAGGGGCTGCTGCACGATTCGAGGGAAGCCTGGGGCTGGTGAAGTTGCAGGGGCTTCAGTACTACAGTAATGGTGCTTTCTGCTACAGCACCAGGCAAGGAATTGGACAGCACTGAGGAGACAATCCAGGAGGTGGGAGACCTCTCAGAGGTGTTGTAAGTGAGGTGGGGCCTGGGAAGAGAAGCAAACATGGCTTCTCCAGCTTGTGGGGAAACCCGACCAGTCCTCTGTGTACTGAGGAGGCAGTGGCACAGGCTCTAACTGGGCTGGAGGGTTTCTCCCTGAGCATATGGACGATGTGAGGGGCCTGCATTCAAGGGGGGCCCATCAGCACAGGGGGTTCCACATGCAGGTAAGTGTCCTGGGCAGTGGGGCCATGGTCATGCCTAGTGGCATTGAACACCATTGGCTTACTGGTGTCACGACTGCTGGGGCACCAACGGATGCAGACATTTGGGCTGGTGCCCCCAGCACAGTCCCACCAGCTCCTCTGCAGCTGAGGATGCTCTGGCCCCTTTGGGGTGCTGCTCCGTGTGAGCATGAAGTCACAGGCGTGAGTTGTGTCCCATCCACAGGAGAGGCAGCCCTGGGCTAGTGAAGTGGTAGGGAAATATGTAAATGAACCTAAATCATCCTCCATCGCCTTACAGGCAGTAAGCCACTGTTTTCTATGGGCAAGGGAGACTGGAAAGAGGAGTCAAGCCAAGTGGGAATCTGTGAGCTCCCTTGGTTCCAAGGGGCTGCTAAGGTGGCTCAGCCTAGCTGTGACTTTGGGCAGACTCGAGGACTCCTGAGGCTCCTCACTGTCCAGCTGATGTCCTTTGCTGCAGCCTGCATTGTCCTGGCTGTGTAGCACAGCTGGAGCTAAATAGCAGCCAGACCAAGCCCTGGATGTGGTCAGCCTGCAGCAAAGGTACATTGATGTGTCCATGTGCATGTGTGTGCATGTGTGGGCACATGCATGCATAGTTCAATGCACTAGGGCCCCCCAAATTCTTTCCTGGTCACTTCAGGTCTTTCCTAGTTATAGGAGAATTGGTCTGTGCTTTGGGGAGAGCTGTGGAAGATGAGGGTAGTGCTTTTGCCATGGTGTCGTGGTTTAATCCCAGTCGGCAACCAAGTACCACACAGCTGCTCGCTCATCCTCCCCTGCCCCGGTGGGATGGGGGAGAGCATTGGAAGAGCAAAAGTAAGAAAACTCGTGGGTTGAGATAAGAACAGTTTAATAAATGAAATATAATAATAACAACAAAAATTGTAATGAAAACAACAAAAGAGAGAGAGAGAAAAAAAAACCAGGGAAAACAGGTGATGCAACCACTCACCACGTGCCGACTGACGCCTGGCCAGTCCCTGAGCAGCGATCACTGCCCCCCGGCCAGCTCCCCCCAGCTTATATACTGAGCATGACGTCATATGGTATGGAATATCCCTTTGGCCAGTTTGGGTCAGCTGTCCGGGCTATACTCCCTCCCAGCTTCTTGTGCACCTCCTCGCTGGCAGAGTAAGGGAAGCTGAAAAGTCCTTGACTTAGTATAAACACTGCTTAGCAACAACTAAAACATCAGTGTGTTATCACATTATTCTCATGCTAAATCCAAAGCACAGCACTATACAAGCTACTAGGAAGAAAATTAACTTTATCCCAACTGAAACCAGGACACATGGGCAGGATTTAATCTGCAGTGTCAGTGTGTAAGGGACAAGTTCCAGCCAAGTGGAAATTGAAGTCTGACAGAACCTAGGTTAACTTTGCAGCTGTATGGCAGGTTAGGTGGTCTTTTGGCCCTGTCTGGGTGGTTCAATGCCGCTTCTCAGGTGCTCTTGGTGGATCAGGAGATTACCTCCTTCCCACGCTGAGCTTCCTTGTTGCTGCAGTCAACAGTGGCCAGGATGAAGGTGAGTCTGATCTTGCTTTCCCAGCAAAGTCCTGCTGGAAGTCTCCTTCCTCTATCTGCATCCTGGGGAGGGAACTTCAAGGAAAGCCAAGGGTAGAGCTGGCAACTGCAAGAATGTGACTGCAAGAGGTTTTAGAAGAACAGATTGCTAGTTGTCTCTTCTCTGCAAGACCCATTCTCACTTGATCACTGTAGTTGAAGCCTGATTTACACTTAGTTATTGCAGAGCTGGCTGTTAACCTGATGGTTGGTGTTAATATTGACTGCTCCATGGCCTGTCTTTGCCACCAGCCAAGGATTCAGGCTCTTTGTCACTGACTGCTCTGTAGCATAGGTTCCTCTGTTCAGCCAGCCCAGTAAGCAGCAAGCACAAATGTGTGTACTGATGTCAAACAGCTTCTGGTCATACTGCAGCTCTAACCCAAATAATCTAAGTCAGGTCCTTCCTCCCATACACTGAATCACTGGCTTAACATCATACCATGCTTTTTTCTATTGGTGATTGATTTCCATCATTTGTTGTGTTTACATTTTAGTGGATTAGTTATTTTACCTGCATACTAAGCTGTTACTTCAGCTCCAATTGTTATCAGCACCATGACTTTGCTTCCTGCTATACATATGTTTGTATGCTCTACTGGACATTTCTCAATATGTTCTTCCTACACATAAGTAGCATCTCTTACAGCCTTTGGAGCACAGTCTTGAACACTGACATGTTGTCTAGTTGCTTATCAGTTGCATGGTTTGGATTCCTTCAGATTGCACAGCTGCAGTAGTTACTCACTTGCTCCCTGGCTTGCCCAACATTACTGTAGCCTGCACAGGTATGGTCAGATGAAGATGACATGGCAACTTTTAAAAGACATTATTTGGAAAGCTCAGCACTTTAGGTATTAGGTATCAGTGGGTAATGCTGTTCTTTGATAGCAGAAACAGGTGTCCGTTAGCACTGTGGGAATATTTATTCTGCATCCCCCCAAAGCCACTTGCAGGGGATTAGGTTTCTGTGTCCTTTCCCTACACTCCAGGATGTACCGCTGTTGCTCACACAGGAGGAGAATAATGCTGTGATCAGTGGAAGTTTATATCCGACCACCCTCGGCCACCACTGTTGGCTGAGTGGCATTTCCAGGCTTCATACACCTGCCAGAATGGTTGTCCTGGACACGGGAAAAGGACATGCTGTGCCACTCTGGGCAATCCTGGGAGCTTAGCAACCATCTCTCTCCAGTGCCACACCATCCCCTTGTGCGCTGCATTGGGGAAGAACCCTGTGACTGTGCACGGGGAGAAGCACAATGTGCTTTGAGAGCAGAGAATAGCATTTATACCTGTGGGTTCAGTCTACAAATAATAAATACTGAGAGTGCAAACTCTCCACACATATTTTATTATCATTTGAGTGTTTGGGGTTTTGGCCAGGCAAAATTCAATTTGCAATCACAAATCAGGACCTAATACATCTAAATTGTATTATGTGCCTTGCAGTGCCTTGTACTTGGAATTCAGTGGGGAAATCCAGCAGCAGGTCCAAGATCCCATCCTCACCTCTGCAGCCTAGGCTGCAGGTCCCACAGCACCCAGCCTACTTCAGTTCCCTTCAGTTCCTCTCCCTGCCTGCCAGAGGAGGTATTGTAAGTCCCACTGGGCCAGCCAACTCACCTCTGGCCATCCCCCCAGGGTGCTCTGCCCACCAACCATCCCTCCCACCTGTCTGCATTTGGCATGCGTTGCTGTGCTGCACCCCTGTTCGCTAGTACAAGCTGGCCCATGAGCAAAAGCTGCATGTGGGCAAGGAACACATATGCCACATCATCTGCTTGACTGTAACGTGTCGCGTTGGCTGTGTGACTGCTGCTCGGTGCAGTGGTGCAGGCAGCTGCACTGCCTCTGTGCTTGCTCCTTCCTGTGTCCCATGCACCCTGCCTTGCACACACACACAGGCTGTAGGAGGCTCTTTCAGCAAAGAGAGAATTTCCCAGAAAATCCCTGGCTCTGGAAGCCTTTAAATACACTCATTACCAGTTTTTAGTTTTGGCAGTCACTGAGGCAAATGTGGGGCTCTGGGGGAGGTGCTGGCAGCAAGGGAATGCCCTGACTGTGGTGCAGAGGCCTCCTGTACCTGCATCACATCACCTTGCTGTCATCTTTCTCTGCCCAATACTGAATACACCAGCAAAGGTTCCCAGAGCATCAGGAATTTACCTCTGTGTCTATGTCTGTGGCCCCTGGGAGCTGGGAAAGTTTTAGATTTATGATATGCCTGTGCAGAAACTGCCCATACTTTGTCACATATAAATGTTATTGATTAAATGAAACACACAACGGATGCATGGATTTTGTGTCCCTAACTAAGCCTTAGTCAGCTTTTAACTAGCATGAAGTGGACATTCACAAATTTATGAAAGAAATTAACATGATGTGACCTGCAATAGCTGGGTCCTGATCTGGGGGTCCCAGACCTCTGTGACTGTTCCCTTCCTGGGACACGACACTCATGCAATTATTTCCCCAAGAAACACCAAGTTTATGAATGTCTGTGCAAGTCTCCATGTCCTCCATCTTCTCTCTGACATAGCAAGTCTGTGTGGGCCCTGTTCTGCCTGTGTCTGCCTCCAGAGAGTGGCAGAATGGTGCTGCCCAGGTTGAAAACCTGGCTGCTCCAGCTCACTGCTGTAGAGCCTCCCATGGCCCGCTGTGACTTAAGCGAGGCTCACTTTGGGCAGGATTATGCCTATGGAAACAGCCAGCAGGTGCTGCTGTGACTTGGGGTGGCTTTTTCCAGGTGAGCATTGTCCTTCAACCAGCTGCAGTCTGGCCTAGAGGAGGGCTGGGGAGGGTGCAAATGCCAGATCTGCCCCTGCACCCCCAGACCCTGTCTTCCGACTGGTCCCATGACTGCTTACTACATGCTCTCTCCAAAGCTGCTGTGGCTGCTGTTGTACATTGGCTGTTGTCTTGCCTCCTGTTCACTGGAAGATAATGTCCAAGCTATGTTGTGAGAGTTCATTCATATCAATTCAGCCATGTCCATGTGTCGGCTGCTGTATCTTATTTCCTTCCCATGGAGGTTGAATTAACTCATTGATCCCTTGTGATAATAATAATAATGGAGGGCAAAGGTACAGCAAATCACAGACATTTTCTATAAAGCTGCTGCAGGAAATTCCCTCATTGTCTTCAGCCAAGGAATGGGCTCAGATCCATCACCAGGTTGTGGATATCAACCCTTTGAGACTTTATGAACTTCATGAAATGTGGAAAGCCCCTCTGCTAATCATTAATAATTTCTGATCCTCCTTTTTTGTTCATTTGGTGGTGGCATTTTTTTACCATCTGCTGCATAATTGGTTTTGGGGAATTCAGTGCTGCCCAAGAACAGACATTTATACTTTTGATTATCACAGGGTATTGTGAAGTCAAGAGTTCTGCTATGTAATTATGTGCAATGTGAAAAGTAATTTATTCAGTTGAGTTTAGACCAGCTGCCCAATTATGTCTTCTGGCACTTCCTAGTTTCTATTGTAAGAAACAGTTAATAATTGTTTGCTGTGTATATGCACTGCACCATTTGTGACACTGCAGATTCTTATAATCTTTCCCAGCTGATAATTTCTTTTCTACCCTTTTAAGATGGGACAACTAGACAGCATATGGTGTTGGAGATGTGGGTGTCCTGTGTATTGATACATTGGTAATAATGTTACTACTCAGCCTTTTCCCAGATCATTTACACATGAAGTCATTGAAGCCAAGAACCTAATAAAGTTAAAAAGGGATCTGACAGGTGTGTTGATAGCAAAAGTATCCAGTATCATCATGGTCATTGACCCCACGAATGATGGAAGTTACTGAGCTTCTTTGCTTGGGAACGAAAATCAGCCTCTATCAAAGCCCACAGTGGCACCCCTGGGGAAGTAGTTTATTTGTTATTGCTCATTCTACAAACGAGGGGGCAGATGAGCAGAGAAATGTACAAGGCACTGAACCTGGGGCAGGAAAGCTAACCCCAGTGAGAAAAAAGATGAGGAACACTGGACAAATGCTGCATCCTAAGTTGAACACTGCTCTGTAGTGACCAATTGCCATGCAAAAGAAGGTGTCATGCACCTGTGTAAATGGGCACATAGCCTGCAAGAAGCCTGATCTGGCTCAGATGCCTAATATTCTGCCTGGTAGTGCTGGTACCTCTTCTGGGGCTTGGTGTACAGCCAGGTGCTTGGGCTTCAAGGAGGGAGTAAACACACCTGAGAGTTCTTAAGAGGGAGGTTTGGGCAAAGCAGCTTATGGGGAAAGCCTAAATTAGCCTGGGTTGTTTAGCCTAGAAACTATGAAACTGAGGGGGATGTGCTGACAGCTTCTCTTTATATGCCTGACAGCTGCCAAGTATATACAAGGCTGCTGCAGAGACTGGAATGGTCTGTTCTGTGTCTGGGGGTAGGACTTGAGCCTGTGTTGGCCTGGCCTGCATGGAGACCAGGGCTGGTCGCTCCTCTCAATGTGAGACTGGGGGATGCTGGTCTGGTTTCCAGCCCTCCCCCCCACTGCCCCCGCAGGCTGTCTTGCTGCCTTTCCTCTGACCCCTCCTCCCTGGTGTTGCTTCTGACAGGGTCACAATAACTTGCCATCTGCATCATTAACACTGGGATCTGCTCATTGTGTTTGCTTGTGCTGACTGTGCAATTGTTCCCGTTATCTGGGAGCAGAGCTGAAGTTCCCGGATGAAGGAGAGAGGATGTGCCTGCCAGCCAGCCTGGCTCCTCCACATGCCTCTGTTCAGCGCGGGTGGTGTATCAACCTGCACCAGTTGTGCAGTGCTCCACAAGGCCAGGTGAAGAGCCAGGGTGGCATGGGAAGGATGGCAAACCTGTGCAAAGCCTGCATGTCACTGGCTTAGGGGTAGGCAGCTGTCAGGGACATGGGACAGCAAGACAAGGCACTAACTGGACAGCCCGTGTGAGGGAGATACCTATGTGATTGGGCTATTGCATGTGCCAGGCATCGCAGCAGTGTGGTGGCATGGAACCTCCCTCTCCAGCACAGGGACTGCCCTGGGGTAGCCCTTGCATGGAAGTGGCCAGGGACCAGGGGTGGCCAGGGGCGTCAGAGACCAGAGTATCTTGTTATGTGGCAGGGACCCAGTCACCCTGTCCAGAGGGAGCAGGATTTATGAGACTATGCAGATTGGCCTTGGACCCTTGTGCCAGCCACTTCTGCCAGTGATGTGGCCTGTCCCTATAGCAGGTGGTTGGGCTCCTGTGCAGTGCCCGGAGCCGGTGCCTGTAGGCTACATATCCTCCCTGCTTTGCCCCCATTCTGCATAGCAGCATTTCTGAGGCGAGGGCCAGGGCCATGCCTGATCTCACTTGCTCCTGTGCTGGCCCAACCACTCTCTGACTGGGCTACACTGCCAGCCTTTCCCTGTGAATAGTCACAGCCTTGCCCTAACTGCCTGATGCACTCTTGTTATGCCCCACAGCATCACAGAGCCATTGTGTTGCACTAGACCCAGACACATATCCAGCAGTGGGAACATCGCTGTAGGCTGAGGTGAAGGCATGGGGATCCCTACACACCAGCCCCCTCCACCCACAGAATGCATCATCTGATACCCTCTGTAAATCACTACTTCCTACCCTTAAGTCTCTATGTGAGAGGCAGTGCTCATGCACAGTTTTGGTGGGCAGGAAAGGTCTGATTTCATGGATGGGTCATTCTCTTTCTCCTCCTGCTGTGTCCCATCCCCTTTCAGACTTTGCTACCCTGAGATGAGGTCCCTGGCTGGCAGCCATCCATGCCCCCACTCATCCCAGCCACTGTTCCTGCTGCTGTCCCTGTCTGCCTTGTGCAGTGTCTTGGCAAGGCACTGCTCCACTGCACGGCCCCCTTGGAGCCGGTCTGTGCCAAGCCCCTCTGCACTGTCAGAGCAAGATCTGGGATATGGTGCCTGTTGTGGTTTAACCTCAGCCGATAACTAAGCACCACACAGCCACTCGCTCACTCCCCCCTGGTGGGATGGGAGAGAGAATCGGAAGGGTAAAAGTGAGAAAACTCGTGGGTTGAGATAAAGACAGTTTAATAGGGAACGCAAAAGCCGCACACGCAAGCAAAGAAAAACAAGGAATTCATTCACTACTTCCCATGGGCAGGCAGGTGTTCAGCCATCTCCAGGAAAGCAGGGCTCCATCACGCATAACGGTTACTTGGGAAGACAAACGCCATCACTCCAAACGTCCCCCCCTTCCTTCTTCTTCCCCCAGCTTTATATGCTAAGCATGACGTCACATGGTATGGAATATCCCTTTGGCCAGTTGGGGTCAGCTGTCCCACAGGCAGGTGTTCAGCCATCTCCAGGAAAGCAGGGCTCCATCACGCGTAACGGTTACTTGGGAAGACAAACGCCATCACGCTGAACGTCCCCCCCTTCCTTCTTCTTCCCCCAGCTTTATATGCTAAGCATGACGTCACATGGTATGGAATATCCCTTTGGCCAGTTTGGGTCAGCTGTCCTGGCTGTGCCCCCTCCCAGCTTCTTGTGCACCTCCAGCCTTCTCAGTTGGCAGAGCATGGGGAGCTGAAAAGTCCTGGACTAGTGTAAGCACTACTTAGCAACAACTAAAACATTGGTGTGTTATCAACAATGTTCTCACCCTAAATCCAAAACACAACACT